GGCGTCGGCTCTTTCCTCGTGCGGCCGTCGGACACGCAGGCGGGCAACTACTCCCTCTTCTTCCACATCGGACACTCTGTGCAGCGCTTCCGCATTGAGCGCCGCGGAGACCGCTATGTGATGGGCGGCCGCGTCTTCCGCTCGCTCTATGACGTCATCGAGCGCTACAAAAGCGAACAAATCGTCGAAGGCTTCCGATTGGAGCGCGCGGTCTGTAAGCAGGCCTTCGAAGAGCACGTGTGGAGCGAAGAGACGGCGAGACAACGACTCGAACGACACAAAGACGACAGCGTCTATCAGACGCTGAGAGAGAGTCGCGAATTGGCGCGCAAGTCGTCCGCAATCCGATTGTCGGGATTTCTGCACAAAAAGAGTACGAAAACGGCTTTCCTTTCTCTCTCTGACTTTCGTTCCGCTTTTTAGGCCAAAAACACAAGAAGTGGAAACCCCTGTACTTCGCGCTCAACCAAAACGACTGCGCGCTCTACTACTACGACAACGAGCGCCGCGCGCGACCGAAAGGCATCGTTGACCTCAACTACTCGTATGTCTATTGTTGTCACGACTCGCTATTCGACCGCCAATTCGTCTTCCAAGTCGTCGAACGCGCGCTTCCCTGGTATGTGTCGTCCCTCTTGTCGTCCATCGCGTCGTCTGTCGCCTCTAATGTCGTCTCTCTATAGCATATCTACGGTCTACTACTTGTCGTCGACCGACGCCGAGACGTGTCGTCAATGGGTTCGAAACATCCAATCGCTGTGTCGTCCGCAACAACGCCCCCAACGCTCCGCCTCTCCCACGACAGGAGACGACGCGACGACGACGACAGCCGACGACGACGCGTCCTATCGAGAGGTGCGGTCGCTGTACATAACGCTTCTGGAGGCGCAGAACCTGCCGTTGAAATGCGCGCCCAATCCGTACGTCGAGATACAGTTCAACTCTTCGGTGAAATGCGCGCGAACTTCAGTCAAGTGTCCGCCGGATCCCATTTGGGAGGAGGACTTCCCGCTCGAAGACATTCCTCCGGATGTGCTTTCCTTCTCTTTCGTTCTCTACAACAAAGCCAAACGACAGAAGGTATGAATGCAATGCTATGTGCGTCGCGTTAACCCCCACTCTCCCCCCCGAAGGACACGGAAATCGCGGAAACGACTCTCGAGTTGTCGAAACTCGCGAACAACGAGGAGTTCGAGGACTGGTTCGCGCTCTCCGGTCTCTGTCCTCCGATTCGCGACTCTTGGGGCCAATTGAGAGCCAGAATCCGCTTCACGCGAGAACTCATCCTTTCGTTTGGCGAGTATTCGGCGCTCAAAGACCTCCTCTTAATGACCGAAGACTTGGAAGTGATTCAAGTCTGCGAACTCTTCTGCGCGCGCGATCGCCTCCCATTGGCCACCGCTTTGCTGAAGATCGCGCGCTTCGAGCGCAACGAATGTCCGCTTTTCAAGGCTATGATTGAGCGCGAGATTCGCCAGGAAACGGATGTGAGTTGGCCCGCTCGCCCCCTCTGCCCGCCCTCTAACCTTTCTCCGCCCGACAGGTGGCCACTCTGTTCCGCGCCAATTCGCTGACGACGGCGATCGTGGATCTGTTCGCGCGCGCCATTTCCGAGGACTTCATTCGTCACTCACTTCTCGATCCCATAAACAAAGTGTTGGACTCGAAGGCAAGTCTTTTCCCCGAAATGCCCACAAATCCCCGATTCACGCCAATAATCCCCAGAACTCGTGCGAACTCAACCCCGCGCGTCTCTCGGAGCCCTCGGAGGCGTGTCATAACGCCGAACACCTCCTGGACCTCTTGGATCACGTCGTGGACCACATCTTCGCGAACGGACACCACTGTCCGCAACCCTTGCGCTATATTTGCGGTTGTCTTCAGCGCGCGGTTATCCGGAAGTGGCCGCACGATCTGCTCGTCCGCTCACGTGTCGTCAGCGGGTATGACGTTACCGACTGCCTCACAACACGTGACTCTAACTCTTTCACAGATTCGTGTTTTTGCGTCTCATTTGTCCCGCGATTCTCAATCCGCGCAACTTTTCGCTCATAAACGGCAAGAAGTGACCCAAAAGTCGGTCAAAAACTAACTCTTTTCTCGTACCAGAAATCCCTTCGGAGACGGCGTCCAGAACTCTCATTCTTATCGCGAAATGCGTCCAAAATTTGGCAAATTTAGTGGAATTCGGAACAAAAGTGCGAAAAACAAAGCAATCCTTCGCTAACACTAACACTAATCCTAATCTCTTAATCTCTCGACTAATCTGTAGTCCATTTTCATAACTCCCGATCGCTTCGAACCGCCGCCTCCGCCCAACTCTAAGCGGGTCTCTCTTTCACTAATCTCTTCACTAATCCTTCGCTAATCCGAAATGCCTTCTAATGCCTCTAATCTCACCTCAGGAGCCGTGGATGGAAATCGTGAATCCGTTTATCCTCAAAAACAAGTCCAAAATGATTAAATATTTGGACGAATTGGCGGCCGTCTCATCGCAAGCCCCGCCCCCGAGCGCCGCCCTCTGGTCGCCCTCCAAGATGGCGGCGGCGGAGGCGCCGGCGCGCGAACTCGCGCTCATCCACTCGATCTGCGACCTCCACGTGACGGAGATCCAGGAGATGGCGCGCGAGAGGGTGAGCGGAAAGCCTACGCAAGCCTTGCGACTAACGCCTTCTCTCCCTCTTAGCCGACGCTCAAGAAGTTGGCGACAGTCGTGGATCTGTTGACGAAACGCAAGACTCGGATCTCAAATAAATAGCCGTTTATTTACAAGAAGTCATCGTTTGTCGAGTTCGCGCTGAAGAGCGCCGCGGATGAGTTCGAAGGACATGACGAGCGCTTCCATATCCGTTCTGTACAACCGGTTGAGCATCGCTTCGAAGCAGTCGAGTTCCGGCACTCGGAACAGCTCCCACTGTGCAATAAAATACTGTTAACCCAATGACCTTCACTTGACTCGCTCTGACCTTGAGTTTGTGGTCGAGTTCCGGCGGCGCCTTTGAGTAGATGTACAGCCAGTGCGGGATCTCTTCCGTCAAGTAGGGATTCGCGGGAACGATGCAATGCGACTGCGCGTACTGCGAGGGCTGCGGTGGAACCTGGATGTCAAATAAAAAATGATCTTGGTATAGTGTACACCAAATGTATTGGATATAAGAGTTTGCAAGCATTTCATTGGCCGAGAGTTTCACTGAGCGCTCGATTCTGTATTCATTGGTATTCTATAGCGAGAGTCGACTGTATTTTGTGTCCGAGTTTGCAAGCATTCGATTGGCGCTCACTTTGACTTTCATTATAAACACTTTAATCACAATATTTGTAATCAAATGAACTGAAGATCAGTGGAAACGAGCGTTGGGTTCGGTCTTCACCCACGAGTTGTGCGAGTCTTTCATCAAGAATCCCGAGAATGTCCGCGAAAGAGGCCATCGCTTATTCACTTCTTATCTCTCTTTTTGCAAATAATATCATATAATAAACAAAACTAACCGGAAGTTCGCGTCTGCGTCCCAACGGCGGCGCCGGCGGACTTCCCAACGCGTACTGCGGGGCGCACGGGTGCTCCAGTTGCGTGACGCGCGTGATGTGACTGCGGGGGAGGGGTATAGAGATATAGAGAGAGAACAGATATGACGTAATGTTCGCATACTTGACGTAATAGACGCCGTGATCCGAAGAGTTAATGCGTTCCCAACCCGTCGGCAGTCCTTCCGACTCGAGAGGATGCGACCAATGGGTGGTCTTCGTGTTGTGGTCCACGAAGTACTTCCGCCCGCGAAGAGTGAAGTCCACAGTCCAACCGGCCGGAAGCGGTAGTTCCTCCGCTGACCGGAAGGGCGAGTGCGCTCTCGCGCCGAACACCAGCGGCTGTCCTGTGAGCGAGGAGACGGACGAATGGCCGGAGGAGGGCGTGGCGTAGTGGTCGCGGATCTGCTGGTGATAAGCGAGGATTTGCAGAGTTTCCGATTGCGTGTGACTTCCGGTCGAGAGTTGTTTGGCTTGAGATTCGCTGATCTGTTGGAGACTGTGTTGAGAGCCGAAGGCGGACTCGAGGGGCGAGTCGGGGGGTTCCGGGGGTTCGGCGGCCATCGGGATGGTGGCCACGGAAGTGCGCAAATTGGTCAGCGAGCGGATGGCGTGAGCGGCGAAGTGGCGGACCGTCGGAAGCGTCGGCTGAGAGATCCATACTTTGTTGCGCGCGATTTGGACGACATTGAAGTGATTGGAAGAGACGACAGAAGACGACGACGGGTGCGACCACTGATTGGACGCCGAGAGCGACGACGTCGACGACGAGGGCGTGGATGTGATGGACGGGTCGTTGTGATTGGCGGCGACGGCGGCGGCCGAGGGCGTGGCCAACGCGGGCGCGAAGGACTGGCGCGGGAGGAGCTGTTGCGCGCTTTGCCAACACTTCTGAGTCAACGTCTTGGCGGCCAAAGAGTGGGCGCCGTCCGAGGCGTCGATTCCTGCCGAAGAGAGAGACGTGAAAAGCGGACAAACGCTTTGAAAAGACGAACCCAACGCTTGAGATCCGGAAATGTATTGACTTTTGGTTTTGTTGTGACTCTTCTGGCGGTTGGTTGTCGTCCACACGTTTATGACTGCAGAGGAAGAGCGAAGAAGTGGTCAGAGAGTGGGAGGAAAGGCAGCGAAAGAGGGCATTACTGGGGATTTCGGGCGGATTGTCTTTCTTGATGTATTTGCCGCTAATTCCGTCAGAGTTTCGGCTTTTGTTGTCTTTCTTTCTCAACATTTGAATCGATTTTAATCGCAATTAACTCTCCATTTGTTTACACATTCCGAGCATTCCTTGAGTCCACTCGTCGGCCCTTTTCGAACAACAACGCCATTGCCTTCACTGCGACAAAAGGGCCCAAAAGCGCGAGTTTGTTGTCAAACAAAAGTGTAAACAAGAGCTCAAAAGTGTTTCACTCGTGACGTCAATTCGTGAGCAAAGGGTTGACAACGGAAACAACGTTACGCAATATGAAGTGACAGAAGTGCCCCCTCCCCCGCCCCCCGCACTCCCCCTTCGCCCACACCTGACATCCGCTCCCAATTCGTGAGAAACCCATTGAATGCAGAATTTGTTGTGAATTCTCGTCGCCATAGAAACCGAAGGAAACTCTTCGCAACTCTTCTCCAAAAACTCTTCATTCGTTTGGAACTCTTCTCAGCGACGGATCGCTCGCTCTCTCGATGGCCACCACTTCTCAGGACCTCTTCGCGCACACACTCAACACTGAGGCGCACGAGATCGCGGCCCTCGTCCGGCATCTCGCGCAACAGCCGCGCGACAAGCGCCTGGATGCCGTCAAAGGCTTGCGGAAAGCCGTCAAACGGTCGCACAATGTGTTGCCTTCCGTCACGCAAAACGACTTTTTCCGCCTCCTCTCAGCCCTCCTCCACGACGACCCCCACCAACGCCCCAACGTGACCGCCGAGTGTCTCTGGCTCGTCGTTGACGTCATTCCCTTCCAGTACAACGTCGACCACTTCTTGGCGCCCATTCTCGCGCCCGTCGTCGCCTTTCTCGGTAAGCGATTCCCGACTCCCGCTCCCTTCCGCTCCCTCTCACTCCCGGCCCGCCCGCAGGTCACGAGTCGGCAGACGTTCGGCGCGCGGCTTTGCGTCTGCTTTCGGTTCACATGAAATACACGCAAAACCTTCAGAAATGCGTCAAAAGTGTCGTCGAATTCGGTCTCGAGAGCGACCAAAAGGAAGTGCGTCGCGGGACTGTTGTCGCACTTCCGCTGCTCTTCGGCGAGGAGTTCGCGCACGAGAACCTCTTCCCGCTGGCCGACAGTCTCGGCCGCCTTCTCGTCCAATCAGACGCTGCGCTCTTTTACCCCGTTTTCCTCGCTCTGCAACGCCTTCATTCCGTCGTCGGAAACGACTCTTTCGACGAATACCTCCGAAGAATGTCTGAAGAAACGCAAGAACTCTACCGATCCGTCCTCTCGCGCAACCCGTCGGCCGACGATCACCGAAGAGGTTCTCATGTCTTGTCGTGTCTTCAGATGCTCACTATTTCTCTCGCAGACAACTCGCTTCTGGAACCGATGCACTCCTCGAAAACGGTGTCTTTCGCGCGCGCAGACGACTCCTCGTCCGACCAGTCGTTTGACCCGTCGCTCAAATACGGGTTTTTCGCTCCGAAAGTCATCGTAAAGGCGTCGTCCGCGCACACGGAAGACAAGGTGGACGCGATTCAGGAGGTGTTGGCGCTCATAAGGAACGCCCCTCTGCACCAATTGGCGCAACTCTTGCCGGAAATGCACGCTTTTCTCGCGCACTTCCTGTCGCCGCAACTCAACGAACAAAACAACTTCAAAGTCACGCTTTCGGCGCTCGATGTCATCGAAAGTCTCGTCGAAAGACTCAAGACTTCAATGAATCCCTTTTTGGACGCTTTGGTCGCGATTCTCGCTAAACGTCTTGGTATTTGACTTTCTCGCCTTCCGTTCCCCCGAATAACGCCTTTCCTCCTCTCAGGCGACGCGAGAACTGTGATCCGGGATTCCGTCATTCGCTCCTTCCACCAATTGATGTACACTTTCGCCCCGCAAGACATCTTGGATCTGCTTCTCCTCCAGAAGCCCTCCAAGAACCCCAAAGTGCGCGAAGAAGTGGTCAATCGCGTGACGGCGGCCGTCCTCACGTTCCCGCGCTCGGAGTTCAACCTCCCGAAGCTGTGTTTCGCCATCAGTCCGCTTCTGGCCGACAATCGGCGCGCCGTGCGTTTGGCCGCTTTGGAGTGTTTGTCGGTTTTGGCGCAGGCTTTGGGTCCGCACCGATTGGCGCCTCTCATGGCGGCCGTCGAAGCCATCGAACAGTCGGTCCAAATGGAGGGATTGGTCGGCGCTCTTCAGGCGAGACTCGCCCGCCGCCAACTACCGCGCTGTGCGGCCGACGGAACCGTTCGCTACGTCTTGAATCCGCAGAACTTTTCCGGTTGGTTTACGGCGGGAAGCGACGCCGACCTCGAGTGGGTCATGTTGGCCACGCCCTCGTCGACGGCCACGACTCCGCCCAAAGCGCTGCCTGTGGGCCGCAATGGCGTTCCCTCTGGCATTCCGTTGGCGACCATTCCCTTCGACAGGAGGCGTTCGAACGGCGCATCTGCTCTTCCACCCGAAGACCACTTCTCGGAGGAGGAAGAGGAGGACGTCGTGGAAGCGATCGGAAGGCGGAAGTCGTTGGCGGAAGTGAATATCGACAAACTGCTGACTTCGGGGCAGACGTCTGAAGGGAGGAGTCCGCAAATGACGGAACGGCCGTTCCTTTCATTTCGCGGCGAAAGCTTCCAATCGGACGTCGAGTCGAATGATTGGCGCCGAGAGTCGGGCGACGATTCGCTGGACGTTTGGCGACAATACTTCTCCGAATTTCGCGCGCAATTGGCAGAAGTGGCGATTTTTGGTGGAAATGAGAGTAAAAGTCAATGACTTTTGAATGACTTATCGATCGAAACGCTTGAGTTGTCTTTGAGTCCGAAAAGAGGACAAAACGTGACGCGAATCCAGAGATAACTGAGTGTTGCGTTCGCTGTCGTCATGACAACCATCGATCACTTCTGACCGCTTTTTCTTTGCAGAGAAGCGCAGGAACTCCGAACTCCCGCTTCCGCTTCCGCCTCAACCCGTCTTCGCACAAGAAATCGACGGCTTTCGCGGCCAATCGCCCGTCCAGTCGTCGTCCGCGCCCTCCACCGCCTCCGCTGACATCCACTTCTTCGCGCCGGACGTCAACGCTCTCATTGAGGTCTGGCTTCCGGTCGGATTCTGACTTCCGGTTTCCTAATCAATGCTTTCCTTCAGAACCGCTTCGAACCCATCGAAAGATCGCTTTCTTTGCCGTCAATCGGACCGCAAGTCGAGAACGAAATGCAAATTCAAGAACCAATAGAAGAGTCGAATAAAGACGGAATGGATTTCCAAGAACTGTAACTCTCGTCTCGATTCCACTTCCCTTTAATCCCTTTCCACTCTTTGCAGACGCGAGGAGGCGCCGCCCGCCATCACGTCGACGCCCTTCAATACGCCCACAGTCGCCGAGTCGACGCCTCCCCCACAGGGTGCGCAGGAGGACCCCCACGACGGCGGCGGCGCACACCAGGAGGCGCCGCCACTGCTGAGCGTTCAGGAGGCGACTCCGCAACACACGCGCCGTCAGACTCCGGAACAGCCGCTCGACAGACGCCAGACAGCCGTGAGTTTGCTTTCATTGCGTTTCCGGTCTTTGACTTCCGATTTGCGTTCAGTCCGTCGAACGCCTCGACGTTTGGACACAAAAAGACGAAACTCTGAGTTCCGAAACGACTGGAAGTGAAGAAAACCAAAAGCCGTCGTCAATGGCAACGAAAAGGTCGCCAACAAAGACTCCGCGCCGGAAACGCGCGCAACCGTAAGACCACTTCCGCTTTTATTCCCTTTTCTAACGTCCGCTTATAGTGTGGGCCGACTCTCGCGCTCGCAATCGCCGCAATCGCGTCGTCGGCCGTCTCGAGCGCCGCAACACCTCTACATCAAGACGACGCCCGCCATTCCCGCCAACGCCAACATAAGACTCATTCTGGCGAACGTCGCGCGCACTGAAGGCCCCTTCGAGAGCCCGCACGAGGCGTCGCGGGCGGCGCTGCTCGCGCTCCAAGACGACGCCTGGTGAGTGACTCGCTCTCGAGCCGCGACTCGACTCTACTCTCAATCCTCTCTCTCAGGACTACAAAAGTGGAGGGAATGCTTGCCGTCACGCGATTGGCTACTTTCCACGGCCCCGCCCTCCATAAGGAGCAACACGCCCTCGTGACCGCCCTATTGGCCGAGACGCGCAATCTGCGCTCCACCGTCGCGCGCGCCGCCATCTTCGCGTTGGGCGAACTGTTCGCGCGCCTGCGCCATCAGGTGGAGCCGGAAATGGACGCAATGGTCGCCGCACTGCTCGCGAAGAGCGCCGACAACGCGGTCTTCATCCGCGAAGACGTCGAGCGCGCGCTCCTTCACGCCGTCGAACAAATGCCGCAAACGAGGACTGCGATTGCGCTGATAGTGGGCGGCGCCTCGTGAGTAGACGCGACAGGAGGTGTCCACGCCCCCTAACCCCCGTTCCCTCCGCAGACACCGCAACGCGTTGGTGCGCAGGACGAGCGCGCAGTTCGTGGCCCTCCTCGTGGAGCGCATGGGCGCCACGAAGTGTCTGTTGGGACCGCGCGATATCGGCGAACACGTGTTGCCGGCAGCCGCGCGCTTTGTTCAGGACTCTTCGGCCGCAACGCGTTATTACGGCCGAAGAGTTTTCGCGCAACTCTTGACGCACTCGGCGTTCGAGAAACTGCTGCGAAAACACGTGACTCCCGGCACTTATCGCAACATTTGCGGGATTCTGGAGTCCATTAAACGGCGGGTGAGTATTGGGAAGTCCGTCCCTCCGAACGCCTGTCCACTGACCGCTTTCTCGCGCAGGGCGTCGGCGATCGGCCGCAAGACTTGTCTTCGCCGTTGAAGGACTTGACGACCGTTTCATTGGACGACAAATAATAACTCTTTTCTAACTTTTTTCTCTCAATAAAAGCCTTTTCTGACGTCATTTGTGTTCACTATAAGCCCTTTTTTGGTCCAAAGTTTGGCCAAAAGTCAAACTTTTTTATCACAAAAACCATAAAACACTTAAAAAAGCGATTAAAAAGCGATAAAAGTCACGAAAAAGGCATTTATTTGTCATCTGAAGCGCGACTACAATGAGTCACACATTCATAGCATTCATTGATAGCAATAAAGCGTTAAAATCCTTCAAACGTTGCAAAAAAGTGTTGCAATCGTTGCGTTGGAAGAAGGGCGCAACTGCCCACATGCACAGGCCTTGACTTACGTCCTGTGACGCGCCCAACAACACAAACAACAGTTGATTTGCTTTCTATTAAAAGTGCGTCTCTTTTGTCAAAACACAACAAACGAAGACAACAATCACAGCGATGGGCATCTCGTGCGGCGCCACTCTCATCAAGTATCTCCTCTTCCTCTTCAACGTCTTATGGCTCGTGAGTAGAGATTTGAAAGTTTGAATTCGCGACCAATCGCTGACTCGCTTTCTCGCGGCAGCTGTTGGGCGGAGTCGTGCTGTGGCTCGGCTTCAAGATCGCCATTTGGAGCGGAGATCTGCACGACGTCTACGAAAACAACCTGAAGACAGGCGCCATTGTGGTGCTGGCGGCCGGATTCCTCATCTTCGTGCTCGCATTCCTCGGCTGCTGCGGAGCCATCAAACAGAACTCCTGTATGCTCTCAACGGTAGGTCTCATGTATTGCTATTGCTGTCCACCACTAATGCTGTCCTCCCCTCCAGTACGGCGGACTGATCCTCATTCTGGTGGTCCTGCAGTGCGTCGGCGCGTACTTTGTTCTCCGCGATAAAGGAAAGGTATGCAACGAAAGGTGCGCCTTTCTGTCCGTCAATACCTGACCTCCGCTTCCAACAGATCCAGGACGAGATAAAGGGTGCGATTCGCACGGAGTTCGATAAGTGGAACCGTTCGCCGTCCGACGACGTGGCGAAAACCATTCAGTTGTTCCAGAAGACGTTCGAGTGCTGCGGAGTCACCGGACAGACGGATTTCACGACGCCTGAACTGCCGGAGAGTTGTTGCGACAAATGGTCGAAAGGCGACTCCCCTCAGGCCAAGTGCCAGCGCTCGCAGATCAAGTGGACGCAGGGCTGCGCCGACAAACTCGAGAANTTGTTGACCGCTTTTCCAACGGTCTATAAATCGCGTGATTTTCGCGAATTTCAATTCAAATCCATCGCAACAATGCTCTTCTCGCGACTCCTTTGGCCGCTATTTCTCGCGCTTCTGGTCTTCGAAACGGCTTTTTGTCGTAAATATTTGTTTCGAAAGTTTGAATCCAAACGTCAATTGTTTTCTCGCGACAGAAGTCGACGAAAAGGTGTCTTCAGAGGACAGCGCGAGACAACAAAGACGGCAAAAACACCGCCGAAAACGGTTTCGAAAGCGACAACCCTTTCAGCCAATGAACGGCCGTCCCGTCGGCGCTCAGCCAATCACCGGTAAGTGCGGGAAACGCCTTCTCAACGCCTTTCTATGGCTTTGTTTGGCCAGAAATGGGCGCAAACGGCACTCCTTTGGACGCGATGGCGAATCCGGCGATGAGTTCTTCGGCGGGAAACCCGATGGCGGTCTTCGAGAGTCTGTTCGCGACTCCGATGCAAATGTTTGGACCTCTCTTTTCTCAACTCTTCGCGCAATTCGGTTGAGAAGTCAGCGGCGTGTGAAGGCCAGTCAGGAGCTCAGGAGAGAAGAGCTCGGAGAAGAGCTCAGAAGAGAGTTAGGGAAAGAGAAGTCTGAGCCTGAGTAGCCGCTACTGCAGTAGAGATTTGAGCTCCCCACTTCTCGCTCTCAATGCCAACGCCAACGCCTCCCTCCCGCCCACCAGAAGCACGCCCTCCGCGGCACCCGACGTGACGTCACGACCGGTGGTGACGGACGACGACGAAGACGACGAGAAGCGCCGCCAACTGCGCGACAAAGACGTGAAGAGAACCGGAAATCGGTTTTTGTGAATAAACTTTTCAATGAAAGCAATCTTTTTAAATGTTTTTCAATAACTACTCCGAGATTACAGTAAAAGGGAGAAGAAATGATTGAAAAGAGAAGTGAAGTAGAAATCGCACCCGGGTCCTCAGATTACATGTTCGGTGTCTTAATGAAAGCATTCTTTGAGTTTTTGCGATAATTTTTGTGCAAATCTTTGGACTTTTTTATCCGAAATTCGAGTCCAAAGACTGAAACCAAAGATAACGTCATTTCGAAACCCTTTCCTCTCATTGGACGACAACGAGAACCCATTTTGTGTTACGTT